TCACTATAGAAAACAGTTTCTTGACAAAATGACAATTGGCCTCCGAGTAGTTTATCCCAGGGCCCCACAAATACACAATCCGCCCCTGTATTTCACTTCTATTGGGTTACGGAATACCCACTCTATATCATTGTTGAATTTTACCGTTTTAAACTTTTAAATACAATTACATTATAATGATCGGAAATTTACTCTTCCTGAAATTACGGGGTCCACGAAAAATAAGTTTTAATGATTCATGAGTACCCACCATTTTTAGCCTTTATGAACATTTGATTACTCACTAGGCTATATTATGGGTGACAAATGAAGATACTCTCAAAGACAAAACGGTAAAAAATAAGAAGAAAGATTTTTTTACCATTTTTGAACATACCTTAGTAAATAGTTTTCAATCTTGTTTTGTTTGTTCATGCACATAATAATATAGTGTTTCTTCCATTTGAATTCGCAAGAAAAATTTTTTTTGTAGATTAACGAAGATAGTAATTTTTTATTGAATTTTTTATTTCACATTCATTAGGTTGTTTTAAAAGTTTTGTCCGTTTTTATGAGTCTACTTTAAACTGTAATATCTCATCAGTTCGAACTTCCATTGTATAATATGATATAAATTGATTTGAAATCCCTGAAAGAATCTGAAAAAAATTAAAAATAACAATGCTATTAAACAAAAAACTAAAATTACAAAGAAATACCATACAAGCAACAAAAAAAAGGATAATACAAGCTGAAAATTAAAAAAAATAAAAAATATTATCAACAAAAAGATGAAAAATAAAAATTAAAAGATTCCAAACCAACTAACGTCACGACGTTTCGATGGTTAGTATCCACAATCGTCTTCGGGTGATAACTGGACTTATTCCTCCGAGATCTGACTATTTATAGGTCATTCGAGTGATTTCACCTATCCCCTCTTCCCGCTCTCCATATTATAATTTAAGTTTTTTTTTTTATTTTTTACAGATTCTTTCAGGGATTTCAAATCAATTAATATCGTTTTAGACAATGGAAGTCCGAACTGATGAAATGCACCACGAAACATTGTCAACCATCTTCAAACATGTCAGTGAATACTTATTTAACTTAATGTAAATGAACGCCACTTGAATCAGTGCCCTTTTGGTAGTGTAACACAAGTCGATTAATTCTGTCATCATAAAAATTGGGTGCTCGGGAATCGTGCACGATGAAGGACGTTTTTGCCTGACCCTGATTGGCTGAAGTTCTACCCGTGAGAAAGTTATCGAAGTGCTTGAAAAGATGGAAGTCTATTGGCGAGAGGTCTAGGGAGTATGGTGGATGAGACAAAACTTCAACGCTCAATCCATTTAATTTTCAGTAAGTGAATTGAGAAATGTACAGACGGGCGTTGTCGTGAAGCAGAATGGGACCTCTTCTATTGACCAACAGCCGCTGACCACCATACAGTAGCCATGGTCATTTTTGGTGGATTTTCGTCTTCAAAGTTCCTGGGTAGATCATCGGTGTCCAATCACTTTCCTGCACGTCTCATGTTGTCGTAGAGGTTCCACTTTTCATTACACGTGACGATCCGATCCAAAAAAGGATCGTTTTGGTTGCGCCAAAGCAAAAAACAGGCCTCGAAACATAAAAATTTCTGTCGATTGTTCAAATTGTGGTGTAGGTACCCAATATTCGAGCTTCTTGACCTTGCAAATACGTCAAAAACTGCATTGGAGCTGACTCCCAGTTCTTCCGTCATCCCACGCACCATTTGTAATGTGTCGGTCTCTACCAGGGTCCTCAAATCCTCGTCCTGAATTACTGAAGGTAGACCACTTCGGGGCTCATCTTCGGGGCTCAAATTTCCGGAACGAAATTTCGCAAACCAACGTCGAGCACTGCATTCATTAACATTGCCAAATACCTAGTTAATTTTTCAGGCTTCTCTGTCTCTATACAAAAAAATATGGAGAAATTGAAAGCTAATACCTTCATTTCTCAAAAACTAATCTCTATAGTATAACAATTTTCAATTGAAGGTAACTCATATACAAATTGAACTGAGAGCTAACGGCAACAATGTTAAATGTTAGAACTAAATTTTTACCGGGGTCATTTTTATTTGTAAGTAAACAACTGACAAATAGCTGAATAATATGATTGAATTTTATTATTTTTATAGTATTAAGATGGATGCCGTTAGCAGGTCCAAGTAATGGTCAAAGAACGCGGAAGTTTATGTCGTTAGAAGAAAAACAGATTGTCTGTAGAGTGTACGAAAATTCAAAAAAATACACTCCGTACAGTGGAAGCTGTAGCCCAGTGTTCATTTTTAACGGGAATATCCGTGTCGACAATTGAACGCATTGTACGTGAAAAAAAGGTGACTTGGATTGTGCAAGCTCGAAAAGTACATTGTCGTGGTAGAAAAAAAAATTGATTGAAAAATTGACGAGTACCAGAAAAATGTTGTACGCTATACCATTCATTCTTTCTTTTTTGAGAATAAAGCGCCTACCCTCGAATCCATTAGGACAAAGGTAACGGATAATGATCTCATTCCAAAAATGAGCAAAGAGAAGTTAAGGAAAATAATAAAAGAAGATTTAAAATTTATATATGCCAAATGATCTCGTAAATCTGTCTTAATAGAAAGAGAAGATATAGTCTCATGGCGACGGAGATATCTTCGCTCTATTAGAGAAATGCGTTCTGCTCACAAAAATATTTATTATCTGGACGAAACGTGGGTGAATACTGGTCACACAGTATCTAAGATCTGGCAAGATACCACTGTAACTAGTTATCGTCAAGCATTTGTGGACGGTTTATCAACAGGGTTACGCGGACCAACGGGTAAAGGGCAACGACTTATTGTCGCCCATATAGGTAGCGAGAGTGGCTTTTTAGACGAAAGTGCACTAATTTTGTTAGCCAAAAAAACGGGAGATTATCACGAAGACATGGACGCCCAACGCTTTGAAGGATGGTCAAATTCGGTAATAGTAATGGATAACCCTTTTTATCACAGTCGATTAGTAGAACAGCTGCCAACTATGACCACCAGAAAAGCAGACATGGTAAAGGCCGAGCTTATGGGTGTCATTAAACAGCATTGTGACAGATATCGCCATCATGTGGTAAATACAATAGCTCGTACTGAAGGCATCACCGTTTTGAGACTTCCTCCTCACCATTGCGAGTTAAACTCAATATAATTAATCTGGGCTCAAATTAAGGGTAACGTAGCTCGTGAAAACGTGACATATAAAATTTCTGATGTCCGACGTTTATTAGAACTCGCAATGGAACGGGTACGGAAAGAAGATTGGGTTAATGCTGTAGCCCATGTGATTAAGGAAGAAGAGAGTCAATGGATTCTGAAACTTCATGAGCATAACATGGTAATCATTTCTTTGCATTGTAGTTCTCTTTATATATAAAAGGAACATAAAAATTATTTTGTAAATTTTTCTGTTTTTTTGAAGTACTGTATTAGGCATAATAAGAAAATGTAATCAGTTCCATCATTGACACCATGTAGCGCCACCTACTATAACAATTTTTGCGTAATTACCTATGTGTTTAAATAAATAAGAATATTATTTTGGTACGCCTCTGCAGAGATGGTCAGAGGATAATCCGTTGGTCACTTCAAGTGCAACGTTGCTAATGAATCACCTTCAATTGAAAATTATTATAGTATACCAAAAATATGCCCTTATTAATTATTGTTTTTTGATTCTTAAAAGTTTTATGTATAATAATAATAATAATAGCATTTTTCAAGGTCTAATTTCGTTTTATTAGCTTGTGCTCATTTTTTTTCACTAACCTACTTTTATACTTTAAACTTCAATTTGTGATTTCATCAATCTATAGGAAATATTTTAAGCCATAATCCTCAATATCCCCTAATGTCTGTAAATTACATTAAAATTAAGCTCCACTCGTGAAGAAACGATATTATATATAAATACTTGTTAAGATTGTTTTCATTTTCTAGAGTGCCTACGATGTGTGTGAAAGTGCTCCAGTCGTACTGTATCCAAATAATGATTGTGTACTTTATTTCATGTAAGTCGTTTTTAATGTGTGGTTATAGGAAGCAAGTGTGACATTGTCGATCGATGTTGAACCATTTATAGAATGATTATATTATAGAACAACTAGCACGTTTTGATAATCATGTATGAAGCGGATATATTTTCTTGAATGACGTTTAAAAAACCTTGAATATCATATTCAAAAATTCAACCCCTTCAACACCAACTTTAATATGTAACTTCTTCATGAGTTTTATTGTATATCTAAGTCGCAAAGTTAGGAGATTTACTTCGTAAAGACACCATTCTTAGTTTTTTTTAACCGCAACTCGTACCTACTTGTCATTTTTTTCGGGAACACATGAACCACTAACTTCGTGGACATCAACAATGACTACATCATTGACTTGTCAAGACATTTTCATCACTGTTATCTAAGAAAATGTCCGACAATAAGGTGCGGAAAATTTCTCTGGGTAGAACTTGTACTTTCGTTATTGTTTTCAGGCATAATTCAACTGTAAGTTTTTCTTGGTTTGTTTCTTTGGTGCTTGTCTGCAATTTTCTATCTACTCCTCTTAAATTCGAACCGTAGGAGAGGCTCTTCTCGCTCACATCCTGGGTATTACTAAGATCTCAGAATCGGTAGTTGAGGAATCGGTTTAATCAAATTAGAGAACCAAGATAGATCAACAAACAAGCCTTGAGTGTGTATTTGGATATGATCAGATGTTGGTTACATGTGTTTCCTTCCTCTACACATCGCGTTTTATTTTCCCAAGAAAAATAAAACGGTTGATATTCACATTGCCAATGGTTGAGCTCCCAGACCACTGGGAAACACTTCCTTTCCGAGAAAGGAAGAAAGTAATTAACATCTTTTCTTCGGGAGTTTTCCATTTAATGATGGAGAAGTGAAAACTCCAAAAAATTATTGGCTCCTAAGAAATATTCCTTTACGTTACTTCTTTTTTTTAGGGACGGGTTGGATTGTTGATCATTTTACCTCTCAATCGATGACACCAAAGACGGCAATCAGGTCGGTTATATTCGAAAATTTGGAGGACGATTCCATTTTCTCAAACTCGCCCCCCACTACAGTTAGGCCAATAACTTCGACAGTAGCCATACCAGGAATGGCAACAACCAGGACGCCGTGTGAAGATGCTTGTCAAGCTACTAACCAATTCGATCCAGTATGTGGAAATAACGGAGTAACGTACACAAATTTTCAATGGTATAAATGTGCAGTAAGATGCGGTAAAAGTGAGTATTAATTCATTTCCAGTTAGAGATTAGCATCAAAAATTGAAAAACTTAAAGTAGCCAATTTGTTGAAACGTAGATCTGAAACCTCTGGCGTGGAATGAATATAGAACCAGTATTGTTCCCAAACATCAGAAATGAATCAATTTTTTTTATCTCATCTCAGAAGAAGAGTGTTGCATTTCTGGTGTTTGGGAGCAGTTCTTGTTTTGGAGTCAATTTGTTATTCTACTATAGATATACAATTATTTCGGGACCAGTATCGATTCACGTATGAAAAGTCGGAAATGGGGAATTTAAAAATGGGACATTGAACTTACCGGGAAAGATTTAGGGTGGGAGTATCGGGGTTGGACGCATAGTAGCATTCTAAACCATTTCTAACCTATGAAACACCATATCTATGCAAATAATAAAATTGTTTTATTAAAATGGATGTTCTGTTCGGGCAACGTACGCGCTTCGCCTATTTATGGTGTTCATAATCGTCCTACCGAGAGGACTATTGGTAATGTGGTTGATAAATTTGATTCCATTGGTTCAGTAAATGATTTCACGTTGCTCACACGAACTCGACCTTTTGCAGACTACAACTTGGCAAATCGTGTTGACATCGTGACTCGGGTCCGCAACCGTACAAAATTCAACTGACCCAGGAACTGAAGGTAAACGACTATAGACAACGACGTGTGTTCGCTGAAAGTGCTCTGAAGCAGTTGGCAACTGGCATCTTCAGCGAAGAGGCTTATTTCTGGATGAATGGGCACGTGAACAAACTAAATTGTCGAATTTGGGACGATATCAACCCACACGATATCCAAGAGCGTCCGATGCATCCCGAAAAAGTCACTGTTTGGTGTGGATTTTTGGCTGGCGGCCTAATCGGTCCATATTTCTTTGAGAAAGACGTTGGCCAGGCCATCACTGTCATCGGCGAGCACTATAGGTCGGTGATAACCAACTTCTTTCTGCCTGAATTGGATGATCTGGGCACCAACGACATGTGGTTTCAACAGTGCTACGGCGCTTCGTGCCACACATCTCATGCCACTATGGATATTCTAAACGAGCGATTCGAGGGCATGGTCTTCTCACGTTGAGGTGATATGAACTGGCCAGCGAGATCGTGCGACTTGACCCCGTTAGAATTTTTCTATTGGGGTTTTCTTGAGTCGCAGGTAAATGCGAATAAGCCACAAACCACAGCGGTCCTCAAAACCAAAACAACCTATGCCATCGGTCAAATTCATCCTGATTTATGCGCCCGAGTCATGGAAAATTTAACGTTTTCGATGCGCTCCACCCAGAGGAGCCGTGGCGGACATTGGAACGATGTTATATTTCACACAAAATAGCATTGACAAATCTTTCAAACGAATAAAAAATTTCGATTACCTACATCTTACACGCTTAATGAAAAACACTATACATTCGTAATGGATTTGGACAAAAATCCTCTCACAATTAAATAATTTATTTTTTGTTGATTTTTTCAATTGCATATTATTATATTAGTGGATTCCATGAGTAAAATATATACAAAGTCCTCCTTGAGTAGTGTCATTAACATTGATGTTATTTCTTGAGATACTTCCATTTTATGTGTATCAATTCCTGAACCGGGGTGATAATATTAATTTTTGTAGAAATGAAAACTTCATATCTTGCTCAAAAGTTATGTCATATAATGTCGTCCGATTCCTTAGATGTACCTAGATGTTCATAATTCGAAGTATATGATGTATAGATGGGGTGTTGTTGAACATTAAATTCGAAAAAATATCTATCTGCTGGTTTCATCATTCAGGGTATAATTGTCTACTTGGTATACCTCGCATCAAAACACTATACAACTAAATTCGTTGCCTCTGACAGAGAATGCAGAAAAATGGCTTAAAAAATTAGTTAACTTACAAGTTCAGAAATAACATGTAAATGTAACATGTAAATGCAGCAGATATTTTTGAGTTCTTGTTAATAGAGTCATGAAACAATAATATTATTTTGATGTGAATTACAGAGTATTCAGTGAAAGTTGTATTTCATTTTAGAAAATACTACGTACACAAATAAAATAATGAGAGTACAAGTGTGTGCATAAATTTTAAGTTAGATGTTATCATTGATCTAGGTAATGACACATATTGGAAATGTGGAACTTAGGTAATTTTAGTCTTCATCATATCCCTATGAACATATATATTTTAGGTCAGTTTGTTCTGCTAGCTTCACCTTAATTGAACTGTCGGTCCTAATCAAAATTTTTCAGTATGTAAACTTTAAATTTATAATAACTTTAGGTTTCGTCATTACCCTGTCACGTAATAAAGTTCAAAAGTTATTCTGTGGCTCTGACCAACTTTTTACTCCCCTTTTGAGTTGAATATTTAGATCATTACCTCAGCTATGGAAATATTGCATTTCATTCATTCATCATAAATTGATTTGAAATCCCTGCAAGAATCAGTAAAAAATTAAAAAAAATTATCTGAAAAATAACAATTATACCAAGGAAAAAACTGAAATTACAATAAAATAAAATACAGGCAACAATCAAGAAATTAAAAAAAAATGAATTATTAACTCGAGATGAAAATTAAAAAAATATTAACAAGAAATGATAATTAAAAATTGAAAGATTCGAAACCACCACGACGATTCGATTGTTAGTATCCACAATCGTCTTCGGGTGATAACTGGACTCATTCCTCTGAGCTATTCAAAGGTCATCTTTCACCTATCCCCTCTTTACTCTCTCCGCTTCTGGTTGAGGTACGTGGACGACATCGTCATAATGGAAATGCAGAACTAGACACCTACCTGAAGCACACCAACAACGTAAGTCCTTCCATCAATTTCACGGAGAAGGAAGTCCACAACGAAATGCCATCCTCAGATGTATTGGTGAAGAGCACCGACACTAAAAGGGAAACATGTGTATATCGAAAACCCACTCACATAGGACAGTATCTGAACCAGGAATCCAACCACCATCAATTGAGAGGAATTGAGGGGAATCATCAAGACTCTACTAGACCATGCTTTCGGGCAGTGTAATACATAGGAGGGTCTCAAAAAGGAACGGAATTGTTACTCCAAAGTGATGGTGGAACAGGCTTTAGCTAGAAGACGGCAAGAGCTCCACTATCCATAGCAGCCTCACGAAAACCAGGTCACCAAACGCGGACTGCGATTCCAAGAATTGCATTTACCGGATACCCTGCGAGTGCGGAGAAGAATACATCGGTGAAACTAAGAAGCCATTGAAAGTTCGCACTGTCGAGCACAAGGAACACACACAGCGAGGAGAAACCAGCAAATAAGGAATATCAGAGCATGTTTGGACTCATCATCTTCAAGTGGGCTCAAGCTGAAATCATCTACATAGAGGAATACTGGTTTAGGACAAAATTCAAAGAAGCCGCATATATGTACTCCAACAACGCATTTAGCCAAGCTATTGTAGAGATACGCAACATATGGAAACCTCCAATCAAGTGGAACACGATCAACTCCCGCCAAACGGTCAGCTTCCGCTAAAACCGATGAAGCGGAGATAGAGAAGAGGAAATAGGTGAATACACTCGAATAACCTATAAATAGTCAGATCTCGGAGGAATAAGTCCAGTTATCACCCAAAGAGGATTGTGGATACTAACAATCGAAACGTCGTGAAGTAACTTGTTTTGAAATCTTTCAATTTTTGATTTTCATTTCTTGTTAATATTTTTTTTTAATTTTCATCTCGTGTTAATAGTTCCATTTTTTTTATTATTGCCTGTATTTTATTTCATTGTAATTTCAGTTTTTTTGATTAATATAATTGTTATTTTTCAGATAATCTAAACAATTTTTACAGATTCTTGCAGGGATTTCAAATCAATTTATATCATATTAGACAACGGAAGTCCGGGCTAATGAAATGCACCACGAAACATTGTCAACCACCTTCAAACAAATATGGAAATATTTTTATAATATGGGATATAGGTACTGAGAATTTTACATTTATTTTACGCCCCATTTTCCACTTTTCTCCGATTTGTGACTTGGTTTTTTAAATCCGTAGGTTCTGCTAGCTTTACCGTTACGCTGCGCGCTGGCAGAAACAAATTGAAATACTTTCCTTCGGAAAACTTTTAATTATCAATGAATTCATGTTTATTTTGGGTTCCTTCATTACACTATTGTACAATGGTTTGCTCCTCTTTTTAATTGAATGAATGGGTACCTAATTCAAGCACACGCAGCAGAAGCAAAAATAATTCTTTATACATTTTTTTCAAGTACGGAGAGGGAAATATAGTGAGAATTCAAGGTTCAACTAATTAGCGAACAATTAGAGCAAACTAACGTTCTGGAAGAAATTAAATAATAAACAAAGTTGTATCGCTTGACATCAAGTTGGCAAGACACAATGTATTTTTCAAAGCAAAATAAAGGAAAGATTTTTCCCCACAACTAATTAGCGAATAATCAGAGCAAACTAATTGTCTAGTCAAAGTTCAGGAAAACTAAATAATAAAAAGTTAAATCGCTAACTTAGTGTCAAGTTAACAATACAACGCGTATTCGAAAGAACAATATGTGAAAAATTATTTATTTCCGCATTTTATCAGCAACAAAATGAAGGCAAATTGTGAAATCCTCAGTTTTACATAAATGTGTTGTCTCGTTCATAATATATTCACGGAATATAGTAACTTTGATATATTCACTGATGGCTTTGGTGAACATACAGAGCTTTGAAGTTGAAGAGGTTTATTGTAATATTTTTAAGATAAATATCAACCTAAAAAAGTAGCATATATTTTTTTAGCATGCCTACTTAGTGTCCACTCGAATAATCTTACAGAGAATATGGCTTTCATTTGGGTGAAAACAACCAAAAGAAGTTGACAGTTGAAACATTACTTATATTTCATTGAATGCAGAAAATGTACCTTTCAAAATGATGGTATCCGTTATTGACAAACCATGCATAAACAGAAACTAGCTTCACAAATGCGGTTTCCGTAGAATTGTCTTGTATTTGAGACATGACTATCGGCGTCATAGGGACAGCTTTAGGTACTTTCATGACCTCGTAAACCATGAGTACAACTGCACGAGGCTTCTGTTGAAGACTTTGTGTATTTGTGCTATTTACCAGACTTCAGAAAGTTCCTCTTTTGACTAGTACAATGGAAATTCAGCAGAGCTGTTGTCTGTCATATTTTTATCTATAAGAACAAATCAGTTATTAAGACATATAAATATATGACATGGTTTAATTTTAGGTCATTTTAGTTTCAAATTCGTTCTTTTTATCAGATTTATTTATGAAAAAGAGTACAATCGTTTCACGAAAGTTGTAGTTGAAATTTTACCATAATTGTAGAGGTGATGTGAGTCAATTTTTCTCATCATATCTTTTTATTTGCAGATGTGAAAATAAGGTTTCGTGGAGCCTGCCCAAGACCTATCTAATTTGCTGTAAATATGTCTGAAACGAACCAAATGTCTAGTAGATAAAGAACTACAAGTATTAGAGACTTTTATTCGGCCTATACCCATCTTAACTTGTTCGTAATAACTGTGACAGAGACCCCCTGAATACAATGAACCTATTTATTTATTCAAATTATATTTTATTCATCAACTACAAAATGGTTTTCGAGACTGAAAACAAAACAACCCGTGAAAATTCGAAAAAGAGTATTTTATCAACTCATGAAATTCAAACAGTATTTGATTCAAGTATCTTAAAAATATAATGTCGGTTGGTTTCTGTTGCTTCCAATGAAATCTATAAAAATGTTAAGATTATATTGTAGGAATAATTTATTTTTTTTCAAAGTAATACAAATTATGAAATAACAACAAAAGTAATTGGCGCTCCGAGGCGACTTGATTGATTTCAGTGGCGTATTTGCTTTTTCAGCTGCAGGAAAACCCGGAAAAACCTGCAGCACCACATCATCTGAAGATCTTGATCTGCTAATGTCCTCTCTTTCATAGAAAAATATTTCAGAACATAAAAATGAAAAATCTATTTTTTTTTCAGAAGTAGCACAGGTCCCCATTTAAATTTTCAACATTATTGCTTCTGTTCGCCCTGATTCAGATGCATTGGTGGTGGGTTTTTGAGGTTTTTTGGAAAATTCAACAAAGTAAAAGATATCAGCAGCAACAGATAACGTTTATTTATTCAGTATCTTCGAAACTAGTTTAGGTTTTTCTTCCTTCGATTCCAACGAAACATGATTCAAATTTCATAATTTTGATGAATATGCAACTTCAATGTCAAATTTTGACCAGAAAATACTTGCATTGACCTGTTATCAGAAAAAGAAATAAATTCACCACCAGAAATTCTTATTTGTTGTTGCAAAGTTCATCTAGTTTTTTCATTTCATTGTTAAACTGATTCGGATTTTCAATGTAGGTAGGGACGTTAATATGTCAGAAATCGAATAAATGTATTTCTCTTCATTCTTATTACACCCGTATTCCTTTTTTAGCAGATTTGTATTCCATTAGCTCCAGTAGTTATCGAGCAAATAATAACGCTTCTTGAGTGAATTTCATAAATCTTATATTCTTTATTTTCACCATTAGATGTGTAAATAATATCAAACCAACATAACTATAACCAAATTTACAACAAAATATCATAACATTCACTGATTTATCTCAATAATATTATAAAGAACTCGAATTCATCATTCAGTATGCCGTCGTTCCCGTTCTATACAGATTATAGTCCTTTCATTCACAGACTTTGTGATATTTTTAATAAATAGGGGATTTCTTTGCAACTTATCAACCTTGGCTTTTAGGGATGGAATTTATTTTTGTACAGAATTCTTCTCACAGTTTCTCTGCCAAACCCTGTATCTTCACTAATACTCCTAATATTAGTTTTTCCGTTTTCAACAACGCCCAAAAAAACATGAGTTGTTCTTATATGTGGTTTCTTTAAACGATTGTCCACAGAGCGTTTCTTCGAATGTTTTCAATATCTTTCTAACGGTGCTAAAGTGAATATTTTTTCCTGGATGCCGGTGATTGAACATATATACACAGTCTCACCACATAAAAGAACGATTTCCACTTTGTCTTGTTTGGATAACATTGTACATAAAACGTCTTTATGAATTATAAATGTTCGAAAATCTGTACACAAAACAACTCGATTCTTTAAATGCAATAATTTGACATTAACCAAAACTAAAAATTTGTTCCAAAAGCCTACTAAGGGAAACGCTTTTTTCGATTTGATCAGTAGGTACCTACAATTTTCTCCTCGACATATTGCATTAGTCTTGTAATGTTTAAAATCACGAAATTGTATATCATGTTTAGTACAAATAGCTAGAACGAGTATTTTGAATAGTTATGAAACTGAACTATTGATCAGCAAAATAATCAAACTGGATAAAAATCTATTAAAAAAAGGAAAACGAGTGTAATAAGAATGAATACGTTTATTCGATTAGTGAGATATTACTTAACGTCCATAAATTGAAAATCCGAATCAGTTTAACAATGAAATGAAAAAACTATATGAACTTTGCAACAACAAAGACGAATTTCTGGAGGTATATTTATTTCTTTTTCTGGTAACAGGCCAATGCGGGTATTTTCTTGGCAAGATATGACATTGACGTCTCGTATTCATCAAAATTATGAAGTTTGAATCATATTTTATTCGAATCCATACAATGAATGAATGATTCGAAAAATTAAAAAAAAAACAATTGGAAAAAAGTCGAAGTGACAGTAGAGTCCAAATTTCGAGCAAGGGTATAAAATTGGAAACTAAGCAACTTTTTTGTCATTTTTCGAAATATACAAAAAAATGTCAAATTTGACAGCTTTAGTAGCACATGATCTTTCTGGAATGCCTCGTCTGTTTAAATTTATTTGTACCTATAGTGTGGTGTGTGGTCAATAATTGTCGAACCCACGGGGAAAATGTAACATTTGATGTCTGAAGTGGAATAGTTGACTGAAAATTTTCTGGAGTCGTGGTGCGACCGCAATGACTTCTGCGCTTCAAGAAAGGCTAAGGGGAAAGATGTACCTCAGTGGGTTTCATTTCGGAAAAATCGCCGTTGACATTCTTGAACCACTTGCTACGACATCCGGTAACAAGTGACTGATGGTTGTAATGGATTATTTCTCTGAATGACCTTACCCTACCAAGAAAACACGGTAGCAGGAGTGCTGTTGCAGAATGTAATTGAGAGGTACAGAGTACCCCAAGAGTTACACTCGGATAACATCCGCAACTCGGGTGTATGGAAAGAAATGATAACTGTTTAAAAACAAAAAAAGTAAGAACACCCGCTCTTCACCCACAGTCTGATGAAATGAACCATTTACCTCTCGATGGTTGTTTCCGAAAACTAAAGAGTCTGGGATGAAGTGATTACCCGGAGCTTCCAACATTAAGCGACAGGCTATATAACATCGACTTTGTTTACCTATCGAAAACTGAAAAGAGATAACCCTTTCAGAATACGTAAATGACTTGAAGAAGAGACTAGTAATCGTCATCAAATTTGCCAGATCTAAATTACACCTTTCCAGCGACAGAACGAAGATAAGATTTGACAGAAAATCGGTGCCGATTACCTTCAACAATGGCGATACAGTGTGGCTCTACCCAACGATTATGGACATACAGGATTGCTTACTTTTGCGATTTTGTTAGACACGTCACGTGATCTCGTGACGTAACAGTGGTGACTCTGGATTGATTCGGTACTGCACTTTTGAATTAAAATAAACAAATTTCATGTAAGTCCCTTGTCAGAATATTATTTTTATATAGGATTAAATACTTAATATAAATGGATTAATACTAAGTGAAAATTTTTCTTTTGTGGATGATAGGGCGAGCTATACTACTTTATCCACTAAATATATGATATAATTTTTTTGCATGAATGTAGAAAAATAAATTTAAAGGACTAATGTATTACTTTATTTAATTTTCGATTTTTTTCTTTTATCAGAATTGTTTAAATTTGTTCTTTTAAGTGACCTATTTTCGTCGGCCTTCGAGTTATTATATTTCATTCTGATAATTGTTCTCAGTGCAATTTTCAAAAATAATATTTGCAATTCTTTTCGAAAGAGTTTTTACAGCTCCTGGCCCTTTTCTTAATCCATTTAATTGTTTTTCGAAAAGCTTGTTTCACTTTTAGATTTTTTCTAAACAATTATCTGTGTGTTTAATAAAACCTCCCAATGAAAGTTGCCGGACCCAAGAATGTATATTATATTTATGATCTTCTGATTTTATTTTATAAGTATAATCGCCCAAACCAGGTAGATCATTTTTAAGCTTTTTAGCAAAGTATTCAGCAATATATTCTAAAGAGTCCTCTGTTATTTCTGAAATATTTGTATTTGAAGTAATGTTAGTAGAAATATCAGAACTACTAGATGAAAATGAGCTACTGCAATTTGTGTCTGCGTTAATTTCAATTTCATTTGGACCACGGCTTCTAATTTGAGAAAATCCATTTTTGAGAGTAAATTTATCCCCTCTTTTGCATCGACGAATCCATTCTTTTTGCAAAGTTATGAAAAACATATCCTTAGCAATAGGAAAAGAGTGAAATATTACATCAGTAACACCACTTTTCTTTAAAGTCAACTGATTGCTTTTGCAAGTTGACACTGCACAAATACGACCAGGCATAATAACCAATTTTTACCTTAATTTAATTTTAAAATGTTCAAAAAACAAAAAAAAAGGTCCACAATGGCAAAAAACAAACCTCAAAACGGAAGAAAATAACAGAGTCTTATATGGCGTCTACTCGTTACACCAGTTTAAAAAATGTCCAAAAGCACAAAAAAATACTACTTTTACAATAATAAACTCAATGTTTCAGAAACCTAATTGGTATAGTAAAATGAAAATTTAATCAAAATGAACAAAAACAATGTAATACTGTCCGAAAATAGTCCTCAAAAAATGTTAAAATAACACAGTCTTATGGCAGCTACTGAAAGTGTCACCGGTGTTACGTCACATCTGCTAGACGCTTGTGTTTAACGTGGCGATTAATGTAAGTAAGCAATCCTGTATGTCCATAATCGTTGGGCTCTACCAACGCTAACGACGGAAAGGTTTGTGACCCAAATTGCAGAAAACATGGCAAACACCTCACTTGGTAAATAAAAAGAAAACGATGTGTTGTACACAATCCATTTGCAACCCAAAAGCAAGTTTTAGGTAGTCCATGTAGAGCGACCGAATCTTTACATGAGTCGTGATATTTCTACTTGGATTGGGGCAAATAACCTCAGGAAAAAGGGTGATGTAAATTATCCCCTGGTCTTCTTCGATCGACAGCGACGATGGTCACGCTCAACAGTTCCACTTCATCTCTCGATATTTCTAGAATGCCGCGTCTGTTCGAGAATTGTGCCGGCTTCCATAGAGATAAATAAGAATTACCACGACGTAGAAGAGTCTAGTTCGGAAAAAAGCAGTGCAGAACGATTTAATTTGGCATTCGAGAGTATAAAACAATCAATTCCGATATTTTAAATCGGCCATGCATATACTCGAATTTAAATAGATCTACATAGAACAAACTATACTGATTTTTTTAATTTCTGTTCACTTATAGTTGATCAAATAAGTATTACAAATAATTTTAATATTTTCTTGACCCAATCGGGCTATTTTGCTCATGCTCATACAATAAAAACTAAGTTCTTTCAAAGAATATAGCAATTTCAATTTAATTTTTAAAATTGTAAGTATTAGGTTTTTTTGGAAAGTATCAGTTTTAATGTCATGTGTTGTTGTAGCTTCATATCTCAATGAATATTTATTCTATTTCGTGGTATATACTGATCGATAGAGAATGTTGTACTCTATGCATTGATGCTGTTCATTTTTATCAACATTTCATTTTTTGCCTCTTTTCAGCTTATTTAAATATGATGCCGTTAAGCGATTGTCTGCCAAATTTGGTTCCGGAGATTTAACCTGGAAGGTGATCCCAGAACTCGTCGACCTATTGTAATTCAGGATGAAGATTTTTGGACTCTGGTGGAAACTGACTCATCACAAATGGTGCGTGGAATAGCGAAGAACTTTGCGTCAGCTCCCCACGATTTGAAAGAGTGACAAAAATGGTTGTTTCGAAGTCCGTTCTTCTTTGCTTTTGCGCAACCAAAACGATAATTTTTTGGATCAGATTGTCACTTGTTATGAAAAGTGAATTCTCTACAACAGGAGACGTTCAGACAGTGGTTGGACACCGATGAAATCACCCAGGCACTTTTCAAATGTGAAAACCCACCAAAAAAGACCATGATTACTGTATGGTGGTCAGCGGCTGGTGTGACTCACTACTCACTAACCGGACCGAACCATCACAGAAGTCCTAATGTGAGGAAATCGACGAAATGTATCGAAAATTGAGTTAACAGCAGCCGACACTGGTCAACAGAAGAGGTCCGACACTGGTCAACAGAATAGGTCCGATCCTGCTCTACGGTAACGTCACCGTCCGAAAATTAAACGAATTGAGCGTCGAAGTTTTGTCTCATGCACCATACTCCACAGACCTCTCGCCAACAGACCAACATTTTGATAACTTTCTAACAGGTAGAACCTTCGCCAATCAGGACAAGTCAAAAACGGCCTTCGTCGACATCGAATGCCAAGGAGACAATTTACATGCTGATGGAATCGATCTTTGGCAGTGCGTGCACCGATTCAAATGACGCTTATTTCAATTGAATTAAATACATATTCACTGGGACATTACAGTTCTAAGCAAACTCAATAGAATCATAAAAACGAACAAAACTTTTGAAACAACCTAGTTTTATCATCCATACCTACCTTAACCCATTTTGAAATTCTTATCAAATACCACGTGTGTTTGAATTAATCTTGTAAACTTTTTATAGCTCAAATATTTCAATGAAGACTAGTCGTTAGTCATAGTTTTCAAAATATTCTTAACCTCAAAAATGTTTCGGGGAAATATTCAGGTATTAATTACAATTTGAAATTTTCATCAAATTATTTTGTTGAAAAATTACCTTCATAACTAATTTACCCATATAATCTTTTTGAACACATAAGCATCACATTGATTGAAAATATTCCCTTTTCTACTAAAGCTTGGTAAGTCTAGGAAGAGATTTTAGAATTTTCACAACTGCATGTTCCCCGACAGAGTACGCATTCGGATGAAAGAGGATGGAAACTATCACTCGTCAAGAACACAACGGAGCGCTTTCGTGTGTGCATATAGTCGGCAGGCTCATATCAAAATTTATAATATTCTTGCTACATTTGTCAAGCTGTACATTTCATTGATTCTGTATTATTATACAAGATCCTATAGTAATTCAAGAGAACATGTCACGAGTCCATTGCATTTGGAAAATGGTAGTTTTGAAAGAAGCCACAAATATTTCAGATATCTCGTAAAAATTCATTCACTCCAGAGTCGGAAATAACGCACTGAAGGCTTTTACAGACTTTATTTTAAAGGAAAAAAAGATTTTTAAACATAAAAACTGACGGTACTAGTAATTCACAGGTAAAATATTTTTTAGTCATATTTACTTCAAATTCACACACCTAATGGTTTCATAAGGTAACCTTCAGTTATTTACTTCAGATTATAAAACTAGTCCAAGTGGATTAAATACAAACTTCGTTAAATAGGGTCAATCTTGAAAAGTCCTTTACAAATTTCTTCTTTCTAAAAATCTCAATCCTCTATTGGAAACCAGAAAATGAATCACATTCACGATTCTCATCAAAGGGTGGTATCAGAAATGGATATATTTCATCAATAATTTGAACAAACTCTAGACTAAAAAATGTAAAACCTACAATTCAAGAATTGAAAAAAATTCGGGGGATACATACTATATAGTAAGTGCACAGATGTATTCTTGTATCACAAAGTATGAAAAAAAAACATGGCTAATTTTGTATCCCCTGAAACTAACATCAAATAGAACAATAATTCATTTTCGGAATAAGTACGTTTTCATACCTTGTGAGTAACTTTAAAATTTCAACTAGACACGAATGTAGCAATGACTTGAAATAGCGGGCACCTTATATTGAAGGCACTCCCGACCTTCCAAGAACTCAAAAATAAATATATTACAAAAATTTACACAATTATATTAATTTATAAATATTTTTATTAATTAAACATGTCTTGTAAATTAAATAACCTTGAAGTTATTCACTTTTAATGGGCCCGACCACAAAGCAAAAAGTTCGAGATGTTGAAAAATGTAGACATTGGGCCGGGATGAAACAATGGAAAGCTGAAAATGCATCTGTTGATTCTTCACTTTGAAGTCATCATGGTGACAAACTCTGAAACAAAAAGTAAAATTCAAAATGAGAATTTAATCATACTTGTCTACTAGGAATTCTATCAGTTACTAAAAAAACACTTATCAAAGACTTTACCACTAAGGACTAAGTTTTTATTATGATTTTTCTGATTGCAAGAGAACTGAATGTATGCTTATTGATAACTAAAAAAATAAATAAAAGGGAAAAATTAAATAATTATTAAAAAAATTAATGTAAAATTCATCAAAATACAAATTTCAGCAGATTAGGCATTAAATTACTCCTATTTTGCAAGTGTTTTGACAGTTTCTGTTTAAAAGAAGGATCTCTCAGTGATCCTACTATTCATATCCATCAGTTTCGTGTTATGTACAAAAGACGTTCGTAATGAGGAAAAAACACTTATGATTTGTCAAGTGAAAGTTTTCAATTTGTTTAGTAGTGCTTTTTATGTACATAATAATAAGCCAGTCAATAGAAATACATATGAATTCCATTTCTAGCATTTCATTACATACGAATTCCATTTCTAGCATTTCATTGTTATACAGAATGTCTGTCTGTAAACAGAATGTTTACAAAAAAAAAGGTGTTCTTCATTTTCAAGTGATTTAGTTTCATTATTTCAGTCTGAAACATACAATCTGGCATAGATTGAATCAAACACAAATAGCACACCAAAACTGCAACCCTAATCAAGTTGGCATCATCACAAAGTGACTATAACAGTATAGTTTATGTTTCATACTATAGTGAATGGTATAGTCATCTGGTGATAAAGCCAATTCGACTGATGAAACACGTGTTGAGAAGAGTGTGTACTGGTGTGCGGAAATAGTGTCTGCATTCGAAATTTCTCTACAAGATTCAAGTAACACATTATTGTGAAATTTTCACCAAACGGTTTACAAAACTGCAGGTTTGTTTTCAAACTTCTAAACATTTCTGAAAACTTTAAAGATAATTCATCTACATGCAGCCGAAACCCGAATTTGAAGTCATCAAGAAATAGGAAAACAATACGTAGACTATTGAAATATTTTCTACATTGAATATATCTAACACAACATACACCAAAAATGAAGTATAACTTTGGTTTATGGTCCAGGCGTAAAAAAATATAAGAATTTTTTCCGTTAGGCAGTAAAATTAACACAAGAACGGAAGGTTATATGCTGCAGATAGTGTAGATGATATAAATATCTGTTATTTGTAGGTACAATTTAAGTTATAGTGGTACTTGTCAGTCTCGACCGCAGACAGAACACTAGGTTAGATTGATATAAGCTTGACTCAAAGACTCTAAGCCGCCAAAGTAGAGGATTTAACTTTAAGCAGGCTCATGTCTGATGCATTTAAAATTCATGAATTAAACAAGCTTAAGGTTTAACTAATGCTACTCTATGGAAAATACTGCCACAAACTGTTATAATAACTTGCCGGCATCTATTAGGAAAATCGAGTCAGATAAACTTTTTAAAATTGAGGTGAAAAAACTTCTCTTACAGAAGTGTTACTACAGTCTTGAGGAATTCTTGTATGACACTTTTTCATGACATTTTGAGAGTATTTGCTAGAGCTTCTCCGATTTTTTATATAATACTTCTATGTTGTGAAAGTTTGTGGACGTGAACCATATTTATTTTTTTGTATCGTTCAACTTCTGTAGTTTTATTTTTGTTTTTTAATTATGACTTAGCACATGTACTCAATGTACCAAAGTGTCAAATAAATAAATGAATAACAAAAAGAAATTCTCCTGTACCAATAATTCGTCGATTATCAAGATGAAAAATATTTAAAGTTAATTAGAATTTTTTTAGGTATACAGGCATATTATTAAGTGATTAAAATAAACCATGGTTATAGACACTGGTAAATAGAATATCTCAATTATATCGATTACAGTTTCAGTTTCTTGGATCATTAATCAATTAATTACCATCTGAATAATTTTTGAGCATTGGACATATCATTCTGCTTTACACAAAGACAAAAGACCTATCGAATTTTCTTCATGAAATATAAGAAAATTAAATAATTTGTTTAATACGTAATTATGGTGTGAACAAGTATTTTTTTACTTGTGAGCAGTTCATCTTATTAATTTTTTCAAAGCCTCCAGAAAACACTGCAGAATCGTGGGCTCATTGCGTTTTTTTCATCTTTTTTCCAAATTTTTTTTTCTGTACTAGTATGTACAGGCCTCTTTATGGATATATGTCATATTCTTCCGAATATAATTTGGGTTGTCCATAAATTGTTTGCCTCCTGTGATCAAATACCTCAAGTTTGCATAAAATGACAATCTATTTGTGTCTCTTTGTTACATTGCCTGCAGTTGTATCCATTTTAAAGCCCTAACTTATTCAGGTGTCATTTCAATGGAACATGTCCAGTGAATATCTCTGTAGTTGTTCTGAGCCAATCCCTGCTTTGTTGAAGTGGTTATCTTCTTGGGCGGCTCCATTATAAAGCTTTTCTCATGTGTTTTCAGGTATATTTTCCTAGCACTCTTTTAATGTTTCTTATAGACCTGCTTCCCAATCTGGTTTCATACCAAATACTATAGTATCCCCCCAACTGGTTCAGGGCCTATAGATGGAGTTGATGATCCATGCCTGGCACACTCATCAGCTTTTTCATTGCCTGTGATACCAGAGTGTCCTAGTACTCAGTATAAATTCAATCTATTCCTGTTCGTCAGTGACCTTCCTTCTTCACGGTACTCCCAGACCAGTCTTGATGTCATTTTTGGTTCCATCTGTGCCCAAAGTGCAGCCTGGCTGACTGAAAATAATGATCTGCCCATTTGCTTGAGGCCTTAAAGTAAGAGTGAGAAATAAGTTTTAAGAATGCACAAGTCTCTGTTGGCAAAACTTTTGGAGATACATTGAAAACAATATAAAACTAATCACATACATCCTACCTACATAGAGTACCTTTGCAGCTAAGTCTGATAAAAAATATTCTTATAATGAAGGTTACCTAGTAAATAAGTTAGGCTGGATCAAAATTTTTGTAACTTGCAGCAAAAAAATTATTAAAAATGTTTGTACAAAAAAGAATATTATATTGGCCATTTAGACTAGCTGAAAGCAAATGATATAGGCATTACATCCGTGATCAAACACTGCTATTTCAGAAGTGGTAGTTGGCTATGTCACAAAAACTTTTGAACCTAACTGTCCTCATCGAGAACAATGCTGAATGATAAGCGAGCACAACCATTTCCTTCTGAAGATGTCATCTATGGGAATGACAGAAAACTCAAACCCTCCAAAAACATTGTCAAATTTCTATTACCTACAATTCCATTCATGCTTTTTGAAAAATAGTAGAAATCCCAAAACTTTGTGCTGAAATATTAATATTTGGTGACTTCAATAAATAGTATACTTCTTGTAGTACAATAAATGTCAAAGATTATATGCAGCTCATTTTTCTATGCCAGTGAAAAATAGGAAGTTTCAAAACTTTCTATACTATAATATAAAGTAATATTATCAAAAATTAAAAAATGGACTGTTTTACTGGCACAAAAAAATGAACTTGACATTTTTTGTGGTACAAAAGATACACAGAGCTTTAAAAATATGGCTTTACAACTAATATTAGAATTTGGTGCGTACTTTATGTTTGGAATGAAAAGAAATCGAAACTGACCATATCATTTTTCCATAAGAAATATTGGCTCCAATGAACTATGCCTTCATTCTGAATTTCAAATGTCTTACCCCAGAAACAACTGAATGGCGCCGTGTATAAAGAGTTCAGTGTCAGTCAGTATATTAGAACCACAAAAAGATTGGTTAATATGCAAGTACGAAAGCATACACATATCATGGGGTACAAAATAAGAGTCGAAATAAGAGCACACAAGTTTCAATAATATTGATATTCTTTGCAGTTTTACAAAGGAAGCCTTTGATTTCCATATAGAATAGAACATTTCAACAAAGCAATGACGATTTGAAAATGTCAATAAAGCATGGATAACCTGTTTTTTTAATCATAGAAATCGAATCAGCAAAAGATGTATAAGTTTGACAACCTCCAGTAATTAACCAGTTTAATGTAATTATGCTCTCAACGGCGGGTATATAAATAATACAATTCAAGGAAAAGAGAAAAACCAGTCTTTTTATTCCTGAAGATATCAACCACTTGTGACGAAACATAAGGAAAACTCAAAACAAACCCACAGACAACATTCACGCAAAAATAACAGATTCAATGACTAAATTTACAACACCATAAATAGACAACTGTTCAGTAGAACTAGCATCTGAGTAATCCCCTATAATATATTCGTCATCCTTTTTATATTTTCCGGGATACGTAAAAAAAAACTCTCTGAATATAACTTTATTATATTAAGCTATACATATACAACAAATACTATAATAATCAGTGGAATTGTTTCTGTAATCTTCGGCCCCAAACATGTATCACTGGAGATTTACTTAGCCATGAGATGGGTTTTTATGAAATCTAAAAATAAAAAATAACTATTAAAATTGTTTTTAAACTTACCAATGGTGATTAATTTACCTTCACCTAGAGTCAACCAAGCGATGACAAACACTGAACACAGTAAAAGAAGAGGAAGAAAAAGATAACAAATTTTCTTGTTTTTCCAAGATTGAAGAAGCAGCAAATCTGATATAAATCAAGCTCTTTATGGAAGTAACTTTTTTTGTTCATTTGGAACACATCACTGAGTTAAACACACTGTTTCACACCAAAACTGCATTTTTTTTACACAATACCAAATCTTATATAATCAAGTTACTCTTCATTGTATTTTGTAAAATTCCTAGACACATTGTCGACTAGAAAGTGTAATAATTGTGAGAAAAAAAATGAACTGAAAAGCATTCACAACAAAATATTTGCTAATACTATCAAATATCTCAAGCATAAAGACAAGCATTTCAAAGGATAGAGCCTGAAAGAAATGACAAAACATGAGAAACACATAGACATACAGTGAAAAGTGAAAAAAAATCAATTGA